CTGATTTGGGTGCATTGAGTTTAGCCTTGGCTATCCTAGTACAAAACATTGGTCCATGTAGAGCCGGATCAAAGCCGGATAAAGGAACTAGCAATTAAATAAATGCATGTACTCGTAATTAACAAAATTGTATTTTTCCTTTTGACGGAGCGAGTGAGTTGCTGGGATGCGTACTTATTTACGTACGTGCGCGCATGTGTGTCTTTTCATCGCTGTTTGCTTGTGGCATTGCACTGTGTGTACTATGCATACATGCATGCATGCTGCTTGAGCGCATTTGCGTGAGATGGTGGTGGTTTTGCGTATATTATACGTATTGTGATGCGGTTGCGGCAGCGTACAAGATTCGTGCGACGTGAGCAAACGGTTTATTGATTACGAGCTTATGCATGCGTGTGTGTGTGGGTAATCGAGAGAGATGGATTGGCACGGGTGGTGGTGGAAAGGTTGAATTGCACGGGTTCTCAGATGCGTCAACGGTGGCATATGGTGCGGCGATTTATGTACGTGTTGAGAACGACGGCATGGAGGTAAAGAGCACACTACTAGTATCTAAGTCACGTGTCGCACCGATGAAAACTGTTTCGGTGCCAAGGCTAGAGTTAGCAGCTGCGGAGCTTCTGTCCCGTTTACTGGTCGATGTAACGAGGGCGATGGAACTTTCGGGGGTGAGTTACACGTTGTGGACGGACTCACAGGTAGTGCTTCACTGGATTGGTAAAATACCGCGATGTTTGAAAACTTTTGTTGCGAACCGAGTTGCATCTATACAGACGAATACTGATGTTAAGAGGTGGAGATATATTAATACAAGGGACAATCCAGCTGACATGTTGAGCCGTGGTATGAAGCCTTCAGAGATTATTCACAGTAAACTATGGATACACGGCCCGCCGTGGTTAAAATATAATTCTGAACGTTGGCCTGACTGTGTGTTTGTGCCAAACACGGTTGCGGAGGCTGAGAGTGAGTTTAAGACCTGCGTTGTAGCAGAAGTAGATGAACCGCTGATGATAACGCGAAGGGCAACAAAGGATAGAGTGTCCTTGATAGAGTACGTTGACAAATTGGAGAGAGCCGTGAACGTAGTGGCGTATTTATTGAAATTCATTTCGAATATAAAAACGCATTCAGTACCTAAGAGGAAGAAGAGGGGAGAACATATAAGCATGTCACCGACTACTGAGCAAAGAACAAAGGCCATGTGGTTTCTACTGAATCAGGAACAAAAGAAGTTTTACAAGAAAGAGATTGGTTGTCTAGAAGCTGGTAATAGTATTCCTGATAAAAGCAGGATTGAATCTCTCAAGCCAGAGCTGAAAGATGGGTTGCTCAGAGTGCACGGCAGGTTGAAGAATGCGAGTTTGGACGAGAATATGCGACATCCAGTCATAATTCCTGATGGGTCAAGGCTGGCATGGTTCATTATGGACCATGCACATCGCGAGACGAAGCACGGTGGAGTGCAAGTTATGATGCAATTCATACGGCAAAAATACTGGATCCCACGACTGCGTGGTTCGCTAAGAAGTTTTATACATAAATGTATGACCTGCGTTCGCCATAACCATCGGGTTGAAGCTCAAATTATGGCAGATTTGCCTGCGGACCGTGTAACGGCAGGGAAACCATTCTTGCACGTCGGGATTGATTATGCAGGTCCTATAGACATTAAAATGATAGATAGAGAAGGCAATCAAATTGTAAGGCAAAAGGTGTGGATTGCAGTGTTTGTTTGCCTTAAAACTAGAGCTGTCCATTTAGATCTGGTCACCGACTTGACGACGATTGCTTTTATTGCCTGTTATGAAAGATTTGTATCCCGTCGTGGTCGTTGCGAGCGAATTTATAGCGATAATGGTACAGCATTTGTGGGAGCAGCGAAGGACATCAAAAGAGCAATGGAGAGCTGGCACAAGGAGGATGTGTTCCAACATTTGTCGGTCAAAGGTACCGAGTGGCGATTCATGACACCAGCAGCTCCGCACCAAGGAGGAATATACGAAGCGGCAGTAAAATCGATGAAGCACCATCTGGTCCGCGTCATCGGGCTAAGAGTGCTTCCGTTCGAGCAATTGAGGACGCTGCTTGCTCAGGTTGAAGCGATACTCAACTCGCGTCCGTTGCATCCATTGAGCGACGATCCAGAGGATTTTCAAGCACTGACACCTGGGCATTTATTGAACGGAGAGCCATTGGTTCTTCCTTTACCCTTTGCGATTCCCGAGACATCGTCATCCAAGGGTGTTCAGCTTTGGAAAGAGCGACAGCGAATGGTTAAGACCTTTTGGGAGCGGTGGCACAATGAGTATTTGACGACACTCCAAGAGCGGAAAAAATGGCGGAAATCTTCTGAAAGAGTGCAACTACGTCAGCTGGTGCTCATAAAAAGCGAAAATTTTCCTCCTGCGCAGTGGGCCATGGGCCGTATCATACAACTTCATCCGAGCGAGGACAATCTGGTTCGGTCAGTAACGATTCAGACAGCAACGAATAAGCTGCGAAGGCCAGTACAGAAAATTTGTATCCTACCGGTGGAGCTGAACGAGAACTAGTGAGCTAAATCAAGTTTTTACTATTGGAAAACCGTTGGTTTTCGGCAGGACTGTTAAGTATTGAATTTATTACAAATCTGGCAGCCTGCGAGTTGCTTAAAAATATAGGCGTTAAGAATTTAAATATATAAATCTGGCAACCTGCGAGTTGCATGAGCAAAATACTTTAAAATAAAGAAGTGTGGCAGCCCATGGGTTGTCAGGGAGTCTATCGAAGTGCAGAGAGAAGAGTGGTCCTTTTTTATTATCGGTTAGCTGATTTGGGTGGATTGAGTTTAGCCTTGGCTATCCTAGTACAAAACAACATTATTTGTTGATGTCCAAACTCAAACAGGCGACTCTTTAGAATGCAAGTTGAGAACAGAAATATTCTTCTTTCCGAAATAATTAAAACCATGCAAGCAAGTATGGAAGAGCTTAATTTAAAGCTGCTCGAAGCAAAGTCTTTAATGGAAAACTATTTCGCATGAAAAAAATTTAACTTCGAAATTGTTAGAGTTAAGCTCACATATAAAATTGGAAACAAATGTTAAATCCTACTTTTATAAGTGGCGAATAATGTTTAGGATAAAAAATTTGNCTCGAAGCAAAGTCTTTAATGGAAAACTATTTCGCATGAAAAAAATTTAACTTCGAAATTGTTAGAGTTAAGCTCACATATAAAATTGGAAACAAATGTTAAATCCTACTTTTATAAGTGGCGAATAATGTTTAGGATAAAAAATTTGAATATAAAAATAAACGCACAAAAGCATAAAACTTGGGCAATTAAAAACAAGAAAATTGCTAAAACTATTTTATAAACAATTTGTTTTATTTTATTGACAAAATATACAAATTCCAGGTAATGAAAGTAAAACAAAACTATAATCGAAATAAATGCCTAGGGCATCAGTGCTGACAAGATACACGCAAAACTAAGGGTTAATTCGTGTGTTATTACTTTTTGACATAATAGTACCTTAAAAGAGAACCGCACTGAATTGTCAATCACACCTTGTTTAATACACCTTGGTTTTGACTACTTTTCTTTGTTTATTAAATATTTTTATTTTTTATTTTTATAAAAGTGTAGTTGGTTATACACCAAACACCATACAAGTAAACATTTCAAACCTCGTACAAAAATTATAAAAATTCTACAAAGGTTCGAAAACGGCAAAAGTTTAAAACTTTTTAACCAGCATTTTGGTATGCTGTTTTGTAGATTATTAAATTGTATATAATGAAGTGCAAATTTCAAGTTGGTAAGAAATCCAGTTGATTTTTGAGAATTTTTTTGGTTGAAGGTGTTTCGCATTTTTTTCATGAAAAGTATGTTCGACAATTTTCTTTTATATGGAAGACACTGCCAGCAAAAAAATTGCCAAAAATCAACGTGATTTTTTAGCAGCTTGTAACTTGCACTTCTTTATATACAATTTAATGATCTACAAAATAGCATATCAAAATTTTTTTCTGGACATTCTGAAGTTTAAAATTTTTGCAATTTTTGAACCTTTGCAGAATTTTTAAAATTTTTGTACAAAGTTAGCAATGTTTACTTATATGGTGTTTGCTGTATAACCAACTAAACTTCTATAAACATAAAAAAAAAAATATTTAATAAACAAAAGAAAAGTAGTCAAAACTGGAAAAAATTTCGCACTCCTATTATTACGTGGACAACTGTAGGTGCGGGATTAATACTTTTTGTCTTCTACCATCTTTCCCAGTAAGTTTTGAATTAAGTTCATTTTTTCTTTGTGTCGTCTCTCCCGGGCTTCCTCCTTATTTTGCGCTATCTCCATCAAAGTCTCTTGTACAGTTTTCTTTTCCTTTTTTTCGTATTTCACAACACTTTCATTAAAGGCACTTTTTCGTAAAACATTCTGGCTGCTTATCTGGATTTTGGGCTCGATCGAGTCATCCAGCTTACATATTTCATCGAGCTCGCGCTCGAAGTCAATTTTTTGCCTTTTTGCTCCGGATGTGTTGTTATTTTCCACAGCGGCTTTCTTTCTTCTTATAATTGTTTTGTACCGTTCCTCGCACTGCTTAGGACTTTTGCCTTCAATTTCTGATGAAATTTTTATCCACATTTCCTTCTTATTTTTCAACGTTTTCATGGGGCCAATATCAGGTAAGTAGTGCGCGTATCTATCAAGAAGGAGCCGGCTCTCTCCATCTGCCCAAACTGCAAAAAGTAAAGCCATATTCGACTTGGAAATTCTAGTTAAAAGTTTTCATTGTACTTACGCTGCAATGTTTTAAATAATGGGCTTTCCTTTTTTGCTTCCATTTTAATAAAGCGATTTATTTTCTATTTAGCGAAATTTGTATTTTTTGGTTAATAGCATCAGCTGATATCCAGGGTAACCTCCTTTTCTTGCGCAATTAATGTTACCATATTTTAGGGATGGGTGTGACGCAAAGAGAATATTGCCATTTATGAGGGTAAAATTTTTTGTGAGAAAAGAAAACGCTATTAGTTCATTTGTTATTAATTTCTCTTCTTTCTTGCAAAAGATGTCAAAATTATTGTCTGCATACGTCAAATCATTGTCCGATTTACTGTCTTGAAAATAATCAAGACAGTGATTGAGACAATTGGAAATGTATGCATGTATTAGTGAAAAAGTGTGCATGTGTTGCTATTGTCATGACAGTATTGTCCGGTGTAAACCCTAAGTAAGAGAACAGAACACAGGCCAGCAAAATTTATGTAGACTAAAATATTACAGCCAATCCTTATAGGATTTGTCCCGTAGAACCCGAATCTGATGTTGAAAATTTGTAATTGGCTCTAGTTTTCAAGCAACTTGAGTTTAAACGTATCTTCCTCATCTTCATTTCCACTGCTAGAGTCAGTGTCCATCGGTATTTGGTGATTTATCCGTGAAACCTCGAGTTGTACTTCAAATATTGGTACAGGAATTTCTGCAGTATATGGATAAAGGCCGTTAACCCTTTCACCATAATTTTTTGATTTTGAGTATTAAAGGGCAGTGTTTAGGCTTTCACATCCTCCCGCACAGATATATATATTGCATCAATTTAATGTTTTACAGAGGCTCAAAAATATCCAAAATGCGTTTTCGGCACCTTTAAACCTAAGTTGCTCGAAAACTAGAGCCAATCTAATATTCGGATTCGGATTGTACGGGAAAAATCCTATAAGAACCGGCTATAATATTTTAGTCAAAATAACGTTGTTTAATTTTTGTTGGCCTGTGTTATCAACCCATGGTAATAGTTTCCAATCCTTGGTAACAGTTCCAAAGTATTGTCAAAATTCGGAAACTAGATATCTTTAGTTGTCGAAACAAACCCTTTTTCTCAGTGTACTTATGCAATTTTATATCGCGCTTACGTAGGCATGCATACTAACTTCAACTTCATTTCATGTTTGAAATATTCAAGAGGAGTTTAAGTAAGTTTAGTAAGTATATTTATAATACGTACGTTATATAATGGTATTTTAATATTACTTATATTCTAATGTGATAAAATTTCCTTAAAATATGTGTTATTTAGTAGTTATATGGTCCATACTGAGACCCGTGGTAATATGGCCCCGGATATATTTGTGGTTGCGGGTAACTAGCATAAGGCGGATAGGGCGGTTGCTTCTGCGAATAAACTGAATTTGGAGAAAATATAAATTAATGTAGGTAATATGTATATGAGGCTCGAAGTTAAATATAAATACGACAAACCTGGCATTAAGTATTGTAGGTTCAGCTGCTCTTCTTTTTCGCGTTCGTTCCTTAAGCAAATGGCAGCTGCTGACAACAGCACTGCAGCTAGCAGGCATGCACATATTCCAGCCCATGCAATAATATATGACCAATCGTATGATATCTTTGTGTTATCTCTCAATACCTGGTAGTAAAGGATTCCAAACTTGTCAATATAACATTTTTCTTTTAATTGCAAGGCACATTGGAAATGTAATTAAAAAAACAACACGCTGCTTTTGTATTTTTTTCTGATTTTGGAAAATGGGCTAACAAATCTTTAATTTAAGAGTAATATGTACATAAATAGAGTTTGGCAATTTAGAGGCCTAGCGCATGAAAAAAATTAAATGCCTTGATTCCATGCTTACCGTATTCCATTGTTGATAATATTCTTCTCCAACAACCTTCTCTTTTTCAAAAAATTCCACGGTATGCCACAAACCCATAGCACCAGCTGACAGTAAACAACTTGCTAATAAAAGAATCGATGTAGCTGTTATAGCACCAGACGATCGTTTCCAACATCCAGAAAGTCCTGACCAAAATGCACAGAAAATTGTGACGAATCTGAATTAGAAAAAGGAAATGTTAAGACATCAGAAGTCTAATATACATAAGTTCTTCGGATATGTTTTACCCAATAACAAATAAAGCAATGCACGATCGCGCCAAGTGCAGTCTGGAATTAGCGTCTTCGTTTGCTGCCTTTTCTTCATCCCATTGAGGAAAATAGTCTACATTAGAGCAGTGGGTCTCTATTGGTGATAAGTATGTTGGCACTGAAATTTAAGAGTATTCATACATATGTATGTATATAAAGTTGTAAAAAGAATTGCTGATATTTCATTTTCATGTATCTACACCTTTTTCAGTTTTAGTTCAGAAAGTTGCAATTCATATTCAGAAATTCCATTTCAAATTCAGATAGTTACAATTCAAGTTCAGAATTTCCATTTCAAATTCAGGATTTTCATTTCAAATTCAAAAAGTTACAATTCAAATTCAGAATTTCCATTTTAAATTCAGAAAGTTGCAATTCGAAATCAGAATTTATATTTTAAATTCAGAAAGCTGCAATTCAAATTCAGAAAGTTACATTTCAAATTCAGAAACCTTCAATTCAATTCAGAAAGTTACAATTCAAGTTCAGAAAATATTCATTTAAAATCAGAAATTTCTAATTTAAGTTCAGAAAAATTCATATTCACTGTACGATTTTGAGATTTTAAGTTGTATCTTCGTTTGGGTATATATTCGTCTATGCTAAATCCAGTAGAAATATTGTGGTCCAAAATGAAGCAACTTGTTAAACCAAGTAAGGATGTGTCCAATGTTGAGGGTCTAGGGTTAACGGAGCAGAGGCTGCAGTACTTGGAAAAAGATTGATCATGCCAAGGTAGCCATATCAGGTGGAGATTGTGCTCGAGCAACACAGAATTGCTTTTCATTTCATGCTAAGTATGTATTGCAATGGTTGAATTGTTACTCTTTCCCTTAAATGAAAATAAATAATTACATACATAGAGCTAAAGACTTGCACAAATTTAATATATACATATGTATATTTCCATTGAATGCAAGGTATACAAAGTTTTCTGAGCTTAATTTGAAATTGTCTGAACTTAAATTGTAAATTTCTGAATTTTAAATGGAAATTTTCTGAATATAAATTGTAACTATGAATTTGAAATGAAAGTTTCTGAATTTGAAATGGAAATTCTGAATTTGAAATTTAATTTTCTGAATTTTAATTGCAACTTTATGAATTCAAAATGGAAATTCTGAATTTGAATTGCAACTTTCTGAATTTAAAATGGAAATTCTGAATTTGAATTGCAGCTTTCTGAATTTAAAATGGAAATTCTGAATTTGAATTGCAACTTTCTGAATTTGATATGAAAACTCTGAATTTGAAATGGAAATTCTGAACTTGAATTGTAACTTTCTGAATTTAAATTGCAACTTTCTTAACTAAAACTGAAAAAGGTGTAGTTCATATAAAAGAATACATAAATCTTTTCTAACCGAATACTTAGCAAAAACCCGGTGACATGCAATAATGTCATTGGAATTAATTTCAATTGATATAAACTCACCTTTGATACAAAAAGAAGGTAGTTTCATTTCAAAATTTTTGACAAAAAATAAGTTTCATGAATTGTAAAAAATTGTGAGCTACCTTGCCACATTTATAGTAATCAAACAATACATCAGAGGATTTAATGTTGTGTGTGGGAAATGATAAGGGGTGTGCCGCCTAAAACTACACTCACTAAAAAGAGCATAGTATAAAATTTAAGAAAAGCCATCCTTCTCCTCCCTGCCCTTCTACAGACGCCATTTCAAAATGGGGTGAAATTAGCATTTTCGCAAAGGAAAATTAAGCTCGTGTTAGGCCATCAGGAGTATTTTTACGCAAAACTCCTTTCCGCGTTGGTGGCCTTCGGCCGCGCTAGGAAAAATAACCTGGTCAGTCCAACTCCGGTTACGCCATCCACAGTATTTTTGCGCAAAATCCACCTCTAAATTTACAAATTTACAAAAAAAAGTGCATATGNGCAATGGTTGAATTGTTACTCTTTCCCTTAAATGAAAATAAATAATTACATACATAGAGCTAAAGACTTGCACAAATTTAATATATACATATGTATATTTCCATTGAATGCAAGGTATACAAAGTTTTCTGAGCTTAATTTGAAATTGTCTGAACTTAAATTGTAAATTTCTGAATTTTAAATGGAAATTTTCTGAATATAAATTGTAACTATGAATTTGAAATGAAAGTTTCTGAATTTGAAATGGAAATTCTGAATTTGAAATTTAATTTTCTGAATTTTAATTGCAACTTTATGAATTCAAAATGGAAATTCTGAATTTGAATTGCAACTTTCTGAATTTAAAATGGAAATTCTGAATTTGAATTGCAGCTTTCTGAATTTAAAATGGAAATTCTGAATTTGAATTGCAACTTTCTGAATTTGATATGAAAACTCTGAATTTGAAATGGAAATTCTGAACTTGAATTGTAACTTTCTGAATTTAAATTGCAACTTTCTTAACTAAAACTGAAAAAGGTGTAGTTCATATAAAAGAATACATAAATCTTTTCTAACCGAATACTTAGCAAAAACCCGGTGACATGCAATAATGTCATTGGAATTAATTTCAATTGATATAAACTCACCTTTGATACAAAAAGAAGGTAGTTTCATTTCAAAATTTTTGACAAAAAATAAGTTTCATGAATTGTAAAAAATTGTGAGCTACCTTGCCACATTTATAGTAATCAAACAATACATCAGAGGATTTAATGTTGTGTGTGGGAAATGATAAGGGGTGTGCCGCCTAAAACTACACTCACTAAAAAGAGCATAGTATAAAATTTAAGAAAAGCCATCCTTCTCCTCCCTGCCCTTCTACAGACGCCATTTCAAAATGGGGTGAAATTAGCATTTTCGCAAAGGAAAATTAAGCTCGTGTTAGGCCATCAGGAGTATTTTTACGCAAAACTCCTTTCCGCGTTGGTGGCCTTCGGCCGCGCTAGGAAAAATAACCTGGTCAGTCCAACTCCGGTTACGCCATCCACAGTATTTTTGCGCAAAATCCACCTCTAAATTTACAAATTTACAAAAAAAAGTGCATATGTCAAACCGAAATCTTTGCTTTAAATTAAAGCCTAATCCTTTGGCTAGACGCATATGTTGAAGTTTTTTGATTCGGGTTACGCGTTTGGATACGATAACCCAAAAGCATTGTACAAATAACCGAACCGTACCCGAGCTGTCTTACTTATGCATTTTTCTATAAACAAAATTTTATAAAATGAAAATGCAGCAGTTTTCATCTTACGTGGCTAATTCTGGTCACAAATACTTAGTTTCGTGCTTATGTTTATGTATATATAATTTTTAGCATCGCCACATCTTTATCAGGAAATTCCGAAAACCCAAAAATTGGTACTATTACAAGTTTCAGGGCATCATGACCTCCTCCCTTTTCCACGGATAACGGTACATCGTTTAGAGGTTTCAAAATGTTTTGCGTCAGCAATTTGTCATCAAACTGCATTAGATCGTATTACGTACTCTATCCTCGGAAAAGCAAAAAACTTAATTTTCGAACCTTCGCACAGGTGTACTCAATTCTTGCAGTTTGGAAACGCGCAAGAATTTTCTTTAATATTTTCATACAATTTTTTCAAGAAACAAAAATTTTCCTGCTTGTGAATCTGGTAGCATGATTTTAGTTAAATCTCATAAACTTGTTAAAAGTCAAATGGTCGGCAACAACAACGAATGTCAATAAATGAAACTACCTTCTACTTTTGTATCATGAGGGAATTAATGTCAATGACATTAACACAAAGCCAAACGTGAGTTAATGTCAATTGACATTAACAGGTCTATTCTTCGCTAGTAACATAAATTTAACCGGTAATTAAGGTGTCTGTCAATTTTGAAACCTTTTTCGCATTCTGTGCTCTCTC